CCGCCCCTGGAGCAGCCGCCTCTGGAGCAGTCGCCCCTACAACTGCCGCCCCTGGAGCAGCCACCCCTGCAGCTGCCGCGGAGCTCTCGCTCTACAGTGGTAGCGGCCTCGCCGTTGCCGCCGTCGTACGCCTGCCCTTCTCGCCACTGGTGAGCACTGCCCTGCCCGTACTGCTGTTACTGCTGCTCTTACTGCTGCTGCTCTTTCTACTGCTACTGCTGCTCCTGGCGTGGCCAGATGCAGCTCCAGCGTAGCCCGCGTGAGTCCCTCACCCCCCAACAGCTTCGTGCGTGGTACGCTAGTTGGGGTTGTCGGGGTGGCCGTAGTGGGAGTCGTCCTGGAGTGAGTAGTTCGGCAGCTGCTTGTAGTGGCCAGGTGCAGCTTCAGCGTCGTCCGCGAGCAGTCCTTTCGCCCCAGCAGCTTCGTGAGTGGTACGCTCAGCGTGACGGGTCACGGGGTACTGCTCGCTGTCCGTACGTCATTCGCACTGGTGCTCGTACTGGTCAGCCTTGCGGGACGTTGGGTCACGCAGAGTCCCGCTGCTTCACCCGTCTGAGCGACGCCTGGCGTACGGAGTTTGGCGACGCGGCTGAGCTCCCCGACTGGGTGGAGCTGCTTCGGGTGCGGGTAGATATCTATACTCTTGACTATGATGCTATCCTCACTGCCATGTATGCATTGCCTACTAGTGATGAGGGTGACTGTTACCTGTGTGTTCCGCCTGCCCCGGGCATTGAGGCTGCTGCTCTAGGTGCTGGTGAGGCTGCTGCTCTAGGTGCTAGTGCGTCTGCTGCCCCAGGTGCTGGTGAGTCTGCTCTCTCAGGTCCCACGTCGTCTCAGGCCTTACACACCTTCACTCTTGACTCGGGTGCTTCCCGCTCCTTCTTTCGAGAGTTGTGAGGCTGAGATCTACGCCGGGGCCATGGCTGCACAGGAGCTTCGCTGGCTCACCTACCTGCTGACTGACCTCGGAGAGCCGCCTCGTTCTCCTCCAGTGCTGTACGTAGACAACAAGGCCATGCTGGCCTTGTGTCGAGAGCAGAGACTGGAGCACAGAACGAAGCACATTGCTCTCCGCTACTTCCTTGCTCGTGAGCTACAGCAGCGTGGTCAGCTGCGGCTTGCGTACGTGGCCTCTGAGGCCAACACTGCTGATATCTTCACCAAGGCACTTGCGCCTTGTGATCATCAGCGCTTCTGTACTCAGCTGGGTCTTGTGCCTACCTTGCCTCACTTGCTCACCCCTTGACCTTGTTTGTACTGTTGCATATATATATACACCTGCTCTTGCTTGTCTAGCCTTATATATATATGTAATCCTGCACGTGAACTGGCCTTATGGCCTTGAACTTGTGCTCGGAATGTGTGGTGACTTTGTGATCCACCCTGAGCTTGCTTTGCTTTGCTTGACTGGTCTTGTGACCCCTTGTTCTCCCCCACTTTGCCTATGGGGGTGTGTCAGATTTATATGACATAGCTACTGTAGGCTATAGTGGGGTAGCACATATGGGGTACAGTTTTCTAGGGTTTGCTTTTGTACCCAACTTTCCCTTAGTCAATTCATTCCTCATTTCTTCACACATGCTACACCTCTGTCTTCCCCTTGCGGCGCAAGGCGGACGTCAGCGATCTCCTGATCTCCTGGATCCGTGCTACTCGTCTCCAGCTGCACGAGTGGATTGAGCAGGACTTCCCAGTCCTGCGTCTGCACTCTGACAGGGGCGGTGAGTTCTCCTCTGACCTCCTTGCGGGGTTCTGTCGAGACGAGGGCATCCGCCAGACGTTCACGCTTCCGGCCTCTCCTCAGCAGAATGGGATTGCTGAGCGTCGCATTGGCTTGATCATGGGGCTTGTGCTTGGAGGGCAGAGTCCAGTGGTCCTCACTGGGCACGCCCAAGCAGCTCCACCCAGTCGGGGAGCTCAGCCGCGTCGCCAAACTCTGTACGCCAGGCGTCGCTCAGACGGGCGAAGCAGCGGGACTCTGTGTGACCAAACGTCCCGCAAGGCTGACGAGTCCTAGCACCAGTGCGAATGACGTACGGGCAGCGAGCAGTACTCCGTGACCCTCCACGCTGAGCGTACCACTCACGAAGCTGCTGGGGCAAAAGGACCGCGCGCGGACGACACTGCAGCTGCACCTGGCCACTACAAGAAGCTCCCGAACTACTCACTCCAGGACGACTCCCACTACGGCCACCCGGACAACCCCAACTAGCGTACCACTCACGAAGCTGCTGGGGCGTGAGGGACTCACACGGACGTCGCTGGAGCTGCATCTGGCCACGGCCAGGAGCAGCAGTGGCAGTAGTAGCCGCAGTAGCAGCAGTAGCAGCAGTAGTAGCAGTAGCAGTAGTAGCCGCAGTAGTAGCAGTAGCAGCAGTAGCAGTAGTAGCAGTAGTAGCAGCGCGGCCACCCCTACAACCCCAACTAGTGTACCACTCACGAAGCTGTTGGGGCGTGAGGGACTCACGCGGACGGCGCTGGAGCTGCATCTGGCCACGCCAGGAGCAGCAGTAGCAGTAGAAAGAGCAGTGGCAGCAAGAGCAGCAGTAACAGCAGTACGGGCAGGGCAGTGCTCACCAGTGGCGAGAAGGGCAGGCGTACGACGGCGGCAACGGCGAGGCCGCTACCACTGCAGGGCGAGGGCTCCGCGGCAGCTGCAGGGGCGGATGCTCCAGGGGCGGCTGCTCCAGGGGCCAGGGGCGGCTGCTCCAGGGGCCAGGGGCGGCTGCTGCAGGGGCGGCTGCTCTAGGGGCCAGGGGCGGCTGCTGCAGGGGCGGCTGCTCCAGGGGCCAGGGGCGGCTGCTGCAGGGGCGGCTGCTCCAGGGGCCAGGGGCGGCTGCTGCAGGGGCGGCTGCTCCAGGGGCCAGGGGCGGCTGCTGCAGGGGCGGCTGCCCCAGGGGCCAGGGGCGGCTGCTCCAGGGGCCAGGGGCGGCTGCTGCAGGGGCGGCTGCTCCAGTGGCCAGGGGCGGCTGCTGCAGGGGCGGCTGCTCCAAGGGTCAGGGGCGGCTGCTGTAGGGGCGGCTGCTCCAGGGGCCAGGGGCGGCTGCTGCAGGGGGGGGGGGCAGGGGCGGCCGTCCGAAGGTCGGGCGCGGGTTAGGGCAGGGCGCCGCGGCGGGCAGGGGCGACGCCGCGCGGGTCCCGCAGGGGTGTCGCGACGAGCGGGGGCGACGCCCGGGTCCCGTTGGGGGCGTCGCGACGCGCAGGAGCCGCGCCTCGCGGGTCCCGCAGGGGCGTCGCGACGAGGCGGGGGCGACGCGCGGGTCCCGCTGAGGCGTCGCGACGAGGCAGGGGCGACACCCGGGTGGCGACGGGGCGGGGCCGCGACTGGCGACGGGGCGGGGTCGCTACGGGCAGCGGGGCGGGGCCGCGAAGGGGCCGCGAAGGGGGTCGCTAAGGGGCCGCGAAGGGCCGCGAAGGGGCCGCGAAGGGGCCGCTAAGGGGCCGCGAAGGGGCCGCTAAGGGGCCGCGAAGGGGCCGCGAAGGGGCCGCTAAGGGGCCGCGAAGGGGCCGTGAAGGGGCCGCTAAGGGGCCGCGAAGGGGCCGCGAAGGGGCCGCTAAGGGGCCGCGAAGGGGCCGCGAAGGGGCCGCGAAGAGGCCGCTAAGGGGCCGCGAAGGGGCCGCGAAGGGGCCGCTAAGGGGCCGCGAAGGGGGGCCGCTAAGGGGCCACGAAGGGGCCGGTAAGGGGCCGTGAAGGGGCCGCGAAGGGGCCGCAAAGGGGGGCCGCGACGGGCCTCAAGAGCAGGGCAGGCCGCTAAGGGGCCGCGAAAGGGTAGGGCAGGTCAGAGCGCGAAGCGCGCTTCGGGCAGGTTAGGAAAAAAAAAGTTTTAATGGTGGGCCATTAGGAAGAAACGGTCCCACTAGGGAACCCGCTCTATACCATGTGAAGAAAGAGGAATGAATGACTAAGGAAAGAGGTGGGTGTAGGAAACCTAGAAGTGTTGTACCCTATAGTGTCTACCCCACTACAGCCTAGATAGACTATAGCATATGAGTTTGACAACAATATCTATCACGCATCTGTAATGAAACACTGTCTCACACTGAAAATTATGCAGCCAAATAGGAACTTCCAACAGAAATAACAAACCAGTTACATATGCACTTCATAGAATTAACTAGGAGACACTCTGAACAAACAAACAAACAAACAAACAAACTTGGAGGCAAGAAGCAAAGCAACACTTGTTGTACCGTAAACGTTATCTCTCAAAATTTCAAGGATAGGCTCTCAGTTTGCCTCTTTATTGTAAAGGTTCTCCCTCCTGAAAAGCAGTATCATTAGTAGTACGCAAATACGTAGTGCGTAAATACGTTTCTTGCTAAATGAATGTTTGGCATTGGCTTTAAAAAATAAAAAATAAAGTAATATCCATGGAAAATCTGTAGAAATAGTTCACGAACCTGAATAGAAGGTATTTGCCTAGCTTCCTTCAAGCCCTAAGCTAACAAATCCTGAGGAAAAAAATAATTAAAATGGCCCATAAATAGTTGACGTATTAGCCTCTTTATTCTAGAGGTTCTCCACCAGAGACCTCCTGAATAGCTGAAGTATTATATCATTACGATATTAGCACGATATTACACATTCGTTGCTGGTGGATAGACTCCAGGTGGTGGGTAAGCTGCCCCCGTGGCCGCAGGCGGGGCATTGGCGGCGTATTTCGCCTCCGCGATCTTGCGGTTTCGGCACAGGCAGCAGAAGAAGACGAGGGCCGCGATCGCGGCGATCAGACCAATGACGAGCGGGTGTCCGAAAAACAGCAGCAGGCGAGGCCAGCAGCTATATGTGCACTCCCCTAAGACGAGGAAAGAACGAACGAACAAAAGAACGAAAGAAGGTGCTATTTTGAGAATTCCCAGAGATCGACAAGAGTGAATCCTATCAACAGCAGCACGCAAGGCCAGTAGCTGTACGATCAATTCACTGCGAGTGGAACGGAAGAGCGAACGAACGAGGCGGGTGAAGGTAGAGGAAATAGTGTTCAAGTCGACTCAATATGCACCCCGGCAGCTGCAGCTACGTGCAACAGGGAGAACGGAAGGGAAAGAAGGTCGAATTATGGGGTAGCTATTGAGCCCCTCAAATTGCCTACAACGGAAAGGTAGAAACCGCTAGGACGGTTGAGAAGCGGGAAACCAAGGACGAGCGGGGAGGAGGAGAAAAGCAAACTGTTGTACACCCCCCTGCTTAAAATGCGTTATGCGCCTTTCACAACAAGGTCGCACGAACTTACAACGCGCGGAAAGTCATTGCTACTGGTAGGGGGGTGCATCTAAAACCACATTATCATGCTTGTTTCTCCTCTCCCTCCTCGTCCAGGGCCCCACATCCAACCCTGTGGTGAAGCAACTGAGAGCGGCCTTCGAGGCGGTGGAGGGGGAGTATCCGCGATTCACAGAGGAGGAAAAGCGGAAAGCGATTGCTGCTGGGGGGCTGCATGTGATCGGCACAGAGCGACACGACGTATCGACAGCCAGGTGGGCTAACGGAAAACTAGGTGGGTTGGTTGCAAGGTAGTGCATAAGGGTGCAGGGTTTAGGATTTAGGGATAGGTTTTTTGGTTTGGGGTGTACCAACCCTCATATGATTGGTACAGAGCGTACGAGTGGGGTTGGCGATAGAGAGGGAGTATTCGCGATTCACAGAGGACGAGAAGCAGAGATTCATTATTACGACTCTATTTGCCCTAATGAAATTCATGTTCTTCACTGTCAGAAATTCCTCCACCAATCCCCTCATGCGGGTCAGCACCTCCCTCTTTTTCTTTTCCTCATCAGGCTCCTCAGCGTGCAGAACCCGGGTAATGGCCGCCCACACCGCCGCCTCCTTCCTCTTCATGAACCTTCCCCCCTGATGAATGTTTTATACACCGTTATTATAAACTTTCACCGCTACGCCAATCCTCCTGCAGCAGTCAGCAAAGAGACCCTGGAAGTTGATTGATGGGGGGCAAGAAGATTGATGGGCTCATGCAAACCTTTCACATGGAGGATCTGTAGATTGGTGTAGTGTGGTGCTATGCGGTGTGGTGTTTGGGGGCGAGGGCTTTGACAGGCTGATGAGGGCCTTCCATGGGAGGATCTGCCGATCAAGCCCCGCTCCCCACTTCTGCTGCTCTCGTTTTTTAGGCGCCTCAAAAACGACCTCATCTGCCGATCAAGCCCCGCTCCCCACTACTGCTGCTCTCCTCCCCCTGTTTCCTGCCTGTTCCCACTAATTTTAACTCCCTTCTCCCCGTGCATCCATCTACGCGGTCGCAGCGGGCGCCAGAAGGACCTAGGGAGCTCGCCCTTCTTCCTCAGTCTGGAAGACAACTTGCTAAGAGTGTTCGGGGGAGAGAGGATCGATGGGCTGATGAGGGCCTTTCATGTGGAGGATCTGCCCATCGAGTCGCCATTTCTGAACCGAGCGCTGGAGGATGCGCAGAGGAAGGTGGAGAATTACTACTTTGACATCCGCAAGCAGCTGTTTGAATACGACCAGGTGGGTGGGGTGTGGTGCAGTGCGGTGCGGTGCGATGCGATGCGGCCCATAGGGCGTTCGCTGATACTGGTCTAGTCTACGTTGGAGGATGCGCGGAGGAAGGTGGAGAACTATTACTTTGACATTCGCAAGCAGCTGTTCGAATACGACCAGGTGGGACGTGTGTTGTAAAGGGGTAAAGATGGAAACTGTTTCGTTACTCACCACACTCCTCCATGCTCTGATGGCTGTCGAAGCTCTGTTTCAATCTCAGGCCGAACCTCAAGTTTCATCCATGCTCTTTCAATGCATCCCCCACCCACCAGGTGCTGAACAGCCGGAGGGAGCGGTTCTACTCGGAGAGGAGGAGAGCGCTGGAGATCGATGACATGGAAGGGCTGATGCTAGAGTATGCACAGCTGACCATGGATGACATTGTCAATGTGAGGAGTGGTGCTGTCAGGTGCAATGTGGTGAAGCGTGATAGTGTCAGGTTTGATTAGGTCAAGTGCGGTGCAGTGAGGTGGAATGCCCTACTGTTAAGCTCATCTATCTGGAGGGGCTGATGCTGGAGTATGCAGGGCTGGCCATGGACGACATTGTCAATGTGAGGGGGGTGGAGTGTGGTGGAATGCGGTTCGGTGTGATGCAGTCAGGTACTATTGGGTGTCATACCATCAGGTTACACACTGTGAAGCTCATTAATCATGAGGGGCTGATGTGGGAGTTTTTACAGCTGACCATGGATGACATTGTCAGTTTGAGACGCGGTAGTGTGTGGTGCAATGCAGTCAGGTGCGGTGGAGTCAAGTTGGATGCGGTCAAGTATGATCAGTTGACGATCCATCAGGCTACACACTGTGATGGAGACAGGGAATCTGGAGGGACTGATGTTGGAGTCTTCACAAGTGACCATGGATGACATTGTCAATGTGAGGCGCGGTGCAGTGAGGCGTAATGCGGTCAGGTACGATGTGGTGAGGTGACATGCCATACTGTGAAGCTCGTCAATCTGGAGGGGCTGATGCTGGAGTATGCCCAGCTGACCATGGATAGCATTGTTGTCAGTGTGAAGGGTGGTGGAGTCAGGTGAGATGTGGGCAGGTGCGATGCAGTCGGGTGGCATGCCATACTGCGAAGCTCTCGTTCAGGAGGAACCTGGTCATGTATCTAACTCCATATGCTCTGCTTTCACTCTATCTGCTCCCCCCCTCTTTCAGGCGAACATCGACCCATCACTGTCACAGGAGGAGTGGAGCTTTGAGGCTCTTACAAAGAAGGTCAAGTAGTAAGTGCTGCTGTTTCACTCAATTATGCAAACCATTTCGAATTCTCTAGTAAATGTTTCCCAAGGTGATTCCAATATTATCCTTTTTCCTCCTCTTCTTCCTAGCACTGGTTTGTCCAAACACGGCGCTATCTTCATTGCACCGAATCCTCCTCGAGTGTACCCTTCCTTTTGCACATACCCCCTCCTGCAAGTATTGTGCTCTGATCACGGATTTATCAATAGACGACATCATATATCAGAGCCACACTGTAGACACCCTAAGGGAGTATCTGCACCAACGCAGCAAAGACGCCTACTACACAAAGAAGGTGCGCAGAAACGTTGTACTTAGTCTCATTTCTGAGAATCCTGTAAGCGTTCCTCAAAGCACACTCAAATGAATCAGCTGAAGGAGCTCCCATTTTATCCCCTTCCACCCCTCTTGTTCGTCGATCACCCTTCTCAACCCCTTGGCACAGCACTCTTTTATAGGCCACAACACCTACCGCCACACTTCTTCTAATCCCTCATAATCCTCTCGACCCATTTCTTAAGCATCAACCCTAACTCCCCTCAACCCTCTCTCCTCCCTACCCTTTCTACAGGCAGAGGTAGAAGGAGTAGTCCCAGGGTTAATGAGGGATGCAGAGCGGTACTTTGTGCTCATCCAGATGGATCTGCCTCTGGAAGGAGCACCTGTAGGCGCTCCGATTCACCCAGCAGGCTATGGCTTTAAGGGGTTTTGCGCAGCGAGACCCTCTTATCGGGTACAAGCTCGAAGGGTATGTCAAATATATATGTGTATTAAGTTGTCTAGGCTATATAGGGGCTAGCCTTAGGGGGTATAGCTTTCACCTCGACACTCTTGTTTGTACCCCATCCTAGACCTAATCAACACACTTCTCCTAAACTCTCTCGACATGATATAGAGCAGGTCCTTCTAAGGACCGTTTTTTTTTTAGGGCCCACCAGTTAGCCTTTTTTTTTTCTGCCTGAATTTTCTGCCCTGCCCGGCGCTTTCGCGCTGCCCTGCTCTGCCCTACCGCGCACAGCCCGTACAGCCCACGCATAGCCCGCGCGTAGCCAGTACAGCCCGCGCGCCACCCGCGCGTCGCCCCTACAGCCCGCGCGCGGCCCGTGCATAGCCTGTGCAGCCCGCGCCAGGCCCGCGCGCAGCCCGTACGACCCGCGCAAGGCCCGCTCGCGGCCCGCATAGCCCGCGCCAGGCCCGCACGCAGCTTGTGCAGCCCGCGCCAGGCCCACGCGCGGCCCGTACAGACCGTGCCAGGTCCACGCGCAGCCCGTACAACCCGCACCAGGCCCGCGCGCACCTGCTCTGCCATGTATGCATTGTCTGTTAGTGCTGAGGGTGACTGTTACCTGTGTGTGCCGCCCGACCCAGGTATAGAGGCTGCTGCTCTAGGTGCTAGTGAGTCTGCTCTCTCTGGTACTGCGCCTGCTGAGGCCTTGCACACTTTCACGCTTGACTCAGGTGCTTCTCGCTGCTTCTTTCGCGACAGTACCACAGTCACACCACTCCCTGCACCTGCTGCAGTCTCTCTGGCTGACCCCTCAGGGGGCCCAGTTCTTGCTCCTTCCACCACTGTTCTCCCGTGTCCGGCGGTTCCGTCTGGCTCACTGTCAGGTCTTCACCTCCCCTCGTTCTCGACGAACTTGGTGAGCAACGCCGTCCTCCAGGATGCATGGGTTGCTACCTTTACACCTGGAGGAGAGCGTGTGGCGATCTGTACGTGCTCCCGGACTGGCCGTCACCTGGCCACGTTCACCCGTCGGCCTGGGTCGAGTCTGTACACACTGACCACGGAGCCTCCTCAGGTAGCTGCGTCTGGTCAGGTGTCTGCATCGAGTCAGGTAGCCACCCCTTGCTTGTGCCACCACCTCTCGCACCAGACTCTCCTATGGCACCACCGCCTTGGTCACCCCTCCCTGCCACGCCTCCGTGGCATGCACTCCCATCTCCTTGTCTCTGGTCTTCCCAGGTCTCTGCCCCCCCTCCTGCGCTCGCCTGCCCCGCCCTGTCTTCCTTGCGTCGAGGGGCGGCAGCGCGCCGCTCCTCACTCCTCCTCGTTCCCTCCGACAGAGGCTCCCCTGCAGACTCTCCACATGGACGTGTGGGGCCCATCCCGCGTCCAGGGACAGGGCCGCGAGCGGTATTTTCTGCTGGTTGTCAACGACTACACGCGCTACACCACGGTCTTCCCCTTGCGCAGCATGGGGGAAGTCCCTGGTGTCTTGATTCCTTGGATCCGTGCTGTTCGTCTCCGGCTTCACGAGCGGTTCAACCAGTACCTTCCTGTCCTGTGTCTGCACTCTGACACAGGTGGTGAGTTCTCCTCTAACCTCTTGCGGGGCTTCTGTCAGGAGGAGGACATCACCCAGTCTTTCACGCTTCCGGCCTCTCCACAACAGAATGGGGTTGCTGAGCGCCGCATTGGCTTAGTCATGGAGGTCGCTCGTACCTCCATAATCCATGCGGTTGCCCCCCATTTTCTCTGGCCATTTGCGGTCCGCTACGCTGCGCATCAGCTCAACCTCTGGCCCCGTGTCTCCTTGCCGGAGACCTCACCCACACTGCGTTGGATGGGGAAGGTTGGCGATGCGTCGGTGTTTCGGGTCTGGGGTTCTCGTGCCTTTGTCCACAATACCACCGTGGACAAGCTCTCCGCCCGCGCCGTTCCCTGTGTCTTCCTTGGTTTTCCCCCTGACGCGCCTGGCTGGCAGGTTTACCACCCCACCTCACGCCAAGTTCTGTCCTCTCAGGACGTCACGTTTGACGAGTCGGTTCCCTTTTACCATCTCTTCCCCTACCGCACTGCCTCCCCCCCTCCCCCGCCGCTCTTCCTTGCTCCAGGTCCCCCTCCGGTAGACCCCCTCCCCCCTCAGGGTCCTACTCCGTCAGGTGTGTCTCAGGTAGACCCACTCTCCTTGGTTGAGCCTGTCGAGGTCACTGGTAACTCTGGTGCTGCCGGGGGTGCTGAGCCTGGGGGTGCTGAGCCTGAGCGTGTGGAGCCTGGGGGTGCTGAGCCTGGGGGTGCTGAGCCTGAGCGGGTGGAGCCTGGGGGTGCTGAGCCTGAGCGTGTGGAGCCTGGGGGTACTGAGCCTGGGGGTGCTGAGCCTGAGTGGGTGGAGCCTGGGGGTGCTGAGCTCGAGCGTGTGGAGCCTGGGGGTGCGGAGCCTGCGCGTGCGGAGCCTGAGGGTGCTGAGCCTGCGGGTGAGGAGCCTGGAGTTGCTGAGACTTGGGGTGCTGGAGGTGCTACTAGTTCAGGAGGTGCTCGAACTGGAGGTACTGGAGCTGCCGGGGCTGGTGGTCCTGTTAGTACTGGTGGAGCTGGCGCTGGGGGTTCTGGAGGTACTCTCTCGCCGCAGCAGCTCCGTGAGTGGTACACTCAGCACTGCCGCCTTCGGAGTGGCGTTGCTGGGGCTGGAGGCACTGGGGCTGGAGGCGCGGGAGCTGGAGGTACTGGAGCGGCCGGAGCTGGTGGTGCTGTGGACTCTGGAGCTGGAGGCCCTGGAGCTGGAGGTGCTGGAGATGGAGCTTCTGGAGTTGCTGGAGACCCTGGCGCTACTGGTACTCGTACTGGAGGTACAGGTGCTGGCGGAGCTGGTACTAGTGGTGCTACACAGCCGCGTCTGTTCTTCGCTCCACCGTCACCGTCGTCTCTGCCGCCGCATGGCTCGGTGCTTCGCCAGGTTCTTAGTCTCCCGTCTTCTACTGGTATTCCATTACAGCCAGGCTCCCCACTGCCTGCTCCCTCTCCTTACATTGAGCAGACAGGAGGTCTTACTGAGCGTCGTGAGCCTGCGTCTCGTCCTGCCTCGCCTGTTCGCGCTGGTCGCACTGGTCGCCGTGTTCCTCGTGAGCGTCCTCCTCCTGTCCCCGGCACGCACACTATGGCACTTCGTCCTTCCTCTGTTCTACAGCGTGTTCCCCTGCCGTCTTCTCTTTCGTCCTCTCTTCCGCACATTCTGGACCCTGAGTCTGACCTAGTTCGTGCTACCAGTCCTACTGTTATGCATCTCTTAGCCACTGTTGTCACTGACCCTTCGTTTGAGTCTGCTGCTGCGTCTGCCTTGGTCGCTGAGCTTGTTGACTTTGCTGCTGCTTGTCGTCTTGACTATGCCGCTAGTCTTGTTGCTGCGTCTGAGTCTGACTGTCCTCCGTCCGTTGGGGGTGAGTGTGCTCTTGGCACGGACGTCCTTGAGGACAAGCAG